GAAGTTCGTTGATATTGATGAATCAATAAATGGCAAGGTAACATTTGGAGACTTATCACAAATTCCGGTAAGAGGGAAAGGTAAAATATTGATTCGTTTGAGAAATGGGCATCATCAATTTATCTCTAATGTTTATTATGTGCCTAATATGAAGAACAATATTTTGAGTTTGGGACAACTCTTAGAAAAAGGCTACAATATATCCATGAAGGATTGTAGTCTTTCGATAAGAGACCCATTGGGTAATTTGATTGCCAAGGTTCCAATGACAAAGAACCGGATGTTTTTGCTAAATATTCAAGCCGACGAGGCTAAATGTTTGAAGGCTTGTGTTAATGATTTAACTTGGCTTTGGCACTTGAGATTTGGGCACTTGAATTTTGGAGGATTAGAGTTGTTGGCCAAAAAGAAGATGGTGAAGGGATTGCCTTTCATTAGCAATCCAAATCAATTATGTGAAGGATGTCTCGTTGGAAAGCAATCAAGGAAAAGTTTTCCTAAAGAAGCTACCACAAGAGCTACGGCGCCACTACAACTTATCCATTCGGATGTTTGTGGTCCAATTTCTCCATCATCATTTGGTAAGAATAATTATTTTTTATTATTCATTGATGATTTTAGCCGAAAAACATGGGTGTATTTTCTTAAACAAAAATCGGAGGTGTGTGAAATTTTTAAAAAATTTAGAGCACTTGTTGAAAAACAAAGTGGCTATGATGTAAAGGCTCTTCGATCCGATAGAGGTGGTGAATTCACATCAAATAATTTCAAAAAATTTTGTGAAGAAAATGGAATTCACCATCCTTTAACGGTTCCGAGATCGCCCCAACAAAATGGAATTGCAGAAAGGAAGAACAGAACCATTCTCAATATGGCTCGAAGCATGTTGAAAAGTAAGGAAATGCCTAAAGAATTTTGGGCTGAAGCGGTTGATTGTGCGGTGTACTTGTCCAATCGGTGTCCTACTAGAAGTGTACAAAACAAAACACCACAAGAAACATGGAGCGGAAGAAAGCCAAGTGTCTCTCATTTGCGGGTTTTTGGGAGCATTGCCCATGTGCACGTGCCGGATGAAAGGAGGACCAAGTTAGACAACAAAAGTGAAAAAATGGTGTTCATTGGCTATGATGCAAATTCCAAAGGCTACAAGTTGTACAATCCAAGCAATGGGAAGATTGTCATTAGTAGAGATGTTGAATTCGAAGAGGGAGCCACATGGGATTGGAACACTCCAAATGAAGATTATAATATTTTTTCAATTTCAGATGAGGAGCAAGAAAATGAAGGCATGGAGCAGCCCATTTCTCCACCAACATCACCTCCACCGCCATCAATTCAAGATCAATCAACTCCATCATCATCAAGTTCAAGTGACACACCACCACTTCGCATGAGGAGTCTTCGTGACATATATGACGAAACAGATGAGGTAACGGAAAGGTTAGGTGATCTAACACTTTTTTGTCTCTTTGCGGATTGTGAACCCGTAGGATTTGAAGAGGCTGCACAAGACAAAAAATGGAGAAATGCTATGGATGAAGAAATTAAATCCATAGAGAAGAATGACACATGGGAGCTTGCTACACTTCCAAAAGAGCAAAAGGCAATTGGTGTCAAGTGGGTGTATAAAGCAAAGTATAATGCAAATGGTGAAGTTGAAAAATATAAAGCAAGATTGGTCGCCAAGGGGTACAACCAAAAGCCTGGAATTGACTATGATGAGGTATTTGCACCCGTAGCTCGTTTGGAAACAATTAGATTGTTAATTTCTTTGGCAGCCCAGAACAATTGGAGAATCCACCAAATGGATGTGAAATCGGCTTTCTTGAATGGGTTTCTTGAAGAAGAGGTGTATGTTCAACAACCCATGGGCTATGTTGTAAAGGGGCAAGAAAACAGAGTCTTGAAATTGAAGAAGGCTTTATATGGCTTGAAGCAAGCACCAAGAGCGTGGAATAAGCGAATTGACAAATATTTTCAAGACAATAATTTTTCAAAGTGCCCATATGAACATGCTCTTTACTCCAAAGTAAGTGAGAATGGAGATGTATTTTTTGTTTGCTTGTATGTGGATGATTTAATCTTCACAGGTAGCAATCCAAAAATGTTTGAAGATTTCAAGAAGGTTATGGCTCGAGAGTTCGAGATGACAGATATTGGCATCATGGCTTATTATCTTGGCATTGAGGTCAAGCAAATGAAGGATGGAATTTTCATTCACCAAGAAGGCTATGCTAAGAAAATTCTTAAGAATTTCAAGATGGAAGATTGTAAATTGGTGAACACGCCCATGGAAGTTGGAATTAAATTGTCAAGAGATGAAGATGGAGAAACGGTGGATCCAACATTTTTCAAAAGTCTTGTTGGAAGCTTGAGATACTTAACATGCACAAGGCCGGACATATTATTTGCGGTTGGGCTTGTTAGTCGGTTTATGGAAAGACCCACCATAACTCATTTCAAGGCGGCTAAGAGGATTCTTCGTTACATCAAAGGTACCCTTGATTTTGGGTTATTCTATTCATTTTCTAATGATTTCAAGCTTGTGGGTTATTGTGATAGTGATTGGGCCGGAGATTTGGATGATAGAAAAAGTACTTCAGGCTATTGTTTTTTCATGGGAAATACTGCTTTTACATGGTGTTCAAAGAAGCAACCCATTGTCACCCTCTCAACTTGTGAAGCAGAATATGTTGCAGCCACTTCATGTGTCTGTCAAGTAATTTGGTTGAGGAATTTGTTGAAGGAATTACACATGCTACAAGAAGAGTCAACGGAGATTTTTGTGGACAACAAATCAGCAATTGCTTTGGCCAAGAATCCGGTGTTTCATGAACGAAGCAAGCATATTGATACAAGATTTCATTTCATTAGAGAATGTATAACTAAGAAGGAGGTGGAGCTCAAGTTCATCAAGTCACAAGATCAAGTTGCGGATATTTTCACCAAGCCCCTCAAGTTTGCAGATTTTCACAAGTTTAGGAGTTTGCTTGGAGTTGAAAAAAAATCAAGTTTAAGAGGGGGTGTTAGAAATTAAACTTTATTTTATTTAGTGTTTTACATTTATGTGAGTTTTTTATTGGAGTTAGTGGGGGGCATGAGAGTTACAACTAGTAAATGGTCATGTTAGTGGGTTAGTGGGAGTTTTGCCTACTAAATGGTCATGTTAGTGGGTTAGTGGGAGTTTTGCCTACTAAATGATATGTTAGTGGGGTTTTAAGTTTCATTTACATTTATGTTTTGAAGCCTATATAAACCCATGCATTGTACTCATTTTCTATCAAGTGAAATAAAAAGTATTTTCCTCCATTTCTATTCTCTTCCAAATAGTATAGTGTTGTGTGTGTAACTAGGCCACTATTTCCAACAAAGAGTACATGAAATGCATAATCATACTGAAGGAGCAACTAAGTGAACTACTATCGGAAGCTCTAGGACTGAGCAGCGACTATTTGGGAAGCACAGAGTGCATGAAGAGTGCAGCATTTTTGTGCCACTATTACCCAATTTGCCCACAGCCTGAACTGACTCTAGGCTTGAGCCAACATACAGACCTGCCTTTTCTAACTATTCTCCTTAAAGATAGCATTAGGGGCCTTCAAATTCGCCTTCAAGATCAAGGGGTTGATGTGCACCCTGTCCCAGGAGCTCTTATAGCAAACATCGGAGATTTTATGCAGGTATAGTTCAAAACAATGAATTACTTGTTCATTAGTAGATGTTAATATCCTTAAACAACAACAAAGCCTCTCTCTCTATTTCTAACCCTACTCGCGGTAACTTTGGTCTTCTCAAAATGTGCAGCTTATCACCAACGATAAGTTCAAAAGTTTGGAGCACAGAGTACTGGCGCGATCAGTCGGACCAAGGGTGTCTGCTGCTTGTTTCTTCCATCCCAGCACTAGGAATATATCTAAGCAGTATGGACCTATAAAGGAACTTCTATCGGACATCAATCCACCTATATACAAGGAAGTTCGGTTCACAGATTTAATTGCCGTGAAGGGCAAGAGGTTTGGACTGAATGGTACTCATTCCTCAGTTCTTCCTCTATTCAAGCTTTGATGAGCAATTGCTAGTAACAGAAAGACTGAACAATAGTTGGATTTTTGCTAAGTTCTAATGTTGCAAAAAGTACTGCTACAATGCCCAATGGATAGAGTCCGACAAGGACTCTTTGTCGGCAATAAATAAAATAAACTCTCTCATCTCTTTCAGTGTTGTAATAAATGTCACACATCCGTGGCAACAAAAACTGGTCGCAAAGTTTATCATTTCCCTGTTTAAAAATGATTGGAGAGTCAAAAACTGCAATAGATATGTAATAATTTTTCTAATAACAAAATGTCCATGAGTTCTCTGTATTATTATTAATCATTCTATTGGTAGTTAAGGTTACAGTGGAATCTCCATTCATCTTTCTACACTTTCCATAAATCAAGCAAAATAAACTGGCCTTAATTAGATATTAGAACTAATATATTATTTTTTAAAACAAAATAAATTAACATGCAAGCCATGCCATATGTTTGTTGATCTACGATTCTGATGGAATATAAAACTGGGCTTTAGATGTTAGAATCACTATAAACACAGTCACTGTAGCTTGACAAATAAACAAAAAAAGAGTCAATATCTTCTCAATACGCAGAAAAGCAATAACTAGCCAGCGTTTTACAACCCGCGAAGCCGATCTATAATGTTCCTTTTATTCTTATGCCATACTTGTACAACGGTATTGTGATGGAGGCTGCAGAACTCCACTGAATGAAACACCTTTTGGATCATGCCCTTGCATGTACCTTTTGTCTCCCTTGTATATTCTATCCCATCCATAGCTTTAAAACTCTATCTTTACCACCGGATGCTACCTTCTCACCATCTGGACTCCAATCAACAGCTAGCAAAAACCTAGAAAAACCCAGTTGGAAAGAACACGGATAAATTAATCAAAATATTCTGAAAAAATATGTGTGAAGTGGCTTTTTTGGAGGGGAAAGTACCTCATCTGCATGACCTGGAAGATCTTGTTTCAACTTCTGCGTCCGGATATCCCAAACCTGGAAAGCAGAACAATACAAATTTAAACTTCATAAATGGGTGTGCCCTAGAACAATACAAATTTAAACTGCACACTTTTCGATAATACAACGGTGTCCGCAGCCCATTTCAAGTCAAATCTGACCCCTACAACTGCATACAATCTCTACAATTTATGTGAGCCGTGTAAGCTTGAGAAGAGCTGAACACATACATGTCTGGTTCCTAGGCCGTAGCCACAGCCAACTCAACCATGCAAGTTAGTGATGAATGCAACTTTTTTACCAAAATTAAGTTACAGGTCCTATAAATGCCCAAAGAAATTTCAATTCCATGTTCTCAATGCTCAAAATGAGGTCCACTTTGTTGTTCTATGTGGCACTTAAGATAGCTGTGTTAACATGACATCTGTGGGGTCATTAGGGCTGTCATAAGTATATTACTTACATTTCTTTTATCATCATTTTTTGTGATTACTCAAATAAATAGCTATATCTATTGCTTCCATAAACGGCCATTGCCTGGTGCTGTGGCAAAACGGGCTGTAAAATGTGAGAATGTGGTTCCAATTCTGAGAGCAGCCACTTTGTCCAAATAATTAATACCAGAGTTCAGGTCTATATCTAATCTACCCCTCCCAGCCACTTATTAACAGGGACCACTACGTAATGACCCTTTTTTTATTATTTCTATAATGCCTCAAAGGATGAACTTGTGCCCTCAAATGCTATGGCGTAAAACAAAGAATGATTCATCAGCAATGAGAGTCATGGGGCACAAAGAACCACAACAAATGCAAGCTCTAGAAAATACCTTCAGTGTCGAGTCTTTGCTCCCACTTAAAAGCAATCTACTGTCAGCAGACCAGCTGCACACAACATGAAATACAATGATTAGCTATACAAATAGAACAAACATGAACAATAACACAAACATAGTAGAAAAAATTGAAACCTTATCTGATAGACAGGGCCTACATGGCCCCGGAAAGCGACAAGAAATTTTCCTGTGTTACCATTCCACAACTTGACTGACTTGTCAAATGAAGCCCTTGCCACCCATTGTCCATCAGGAGAGAAGTAAACATGGTTCACAAGCTGGAAGAAAGTAACAAGTTTAAGTCTCACCAGCTGAGCTTCAAGAAAGAACGCAGTAGATATATACAATTGACATTTACTTGGAATATATGTGTCTATACAACATTATAACTACATGCTTAGTATAACTGAACTTGATTTATGGTAAAAACTTTCCAGTACAAGATCATTAGTCAATATTTTGGATGAGGGAATTTTTTTGTACAACCAGGTAATGCTTGGATGATGTTTTCTACAAGACAGGATAGACAAATACCTGCCATAACAGCCCTCTCTCAACCAATTTTTAAACATAATGCAATTCAAGCAAATAGGAAACCAAAATGCTTCTTTGAAGTGTTGAAATAACCGCAGAATGTAATATGGTTATACAACTTGGTCTGTTCCAGTAGTCATTAAAGGCTCAAGGCGCACCTTTGGAGACTAGGCGCGAGGCGCACACTTGAGTGAAGTGAAGTGCACAATTGAAATTTTAAATTACCACAATAACATTCATATCTCACAAGTCATATCAATATTCTAAAAATTAATATTAAATACAAAAAAGTAAATCCATCAACTATGTAAGCATTAAAGAACCATAAAACAGAGCACATATTTGTTTTCTTGAATGGAAAAACGGAGCACATAAAGAAACAAATCTATTAAAAAAACTGTTAACAAGAAAAGAAAAAGAAAAATAGAGCCATAAAAAAAAGAGGCAGAGACAAAAGAAGTAGATGAGAAGAAAGAGAAAGTGTTAAAGAATAAAAAGGAGAAAAAATAAAGCCCAAAAAAAAACAAAAAAAAAAGGCAGAGAGAGGAGAACTAGACGGAGAGAGAGAAGTAAACAAAGATGAGAAGGGTGGAGTAGAGAAGAAGAATAAGAAGATGAAGAAAGACCTGTCATGGCTTCGTCGTTGGTCTCATAGTCTCACTCTTTCTATGTTCGGTCTTGGACTTTCTTATTTGTTTATTCTTTTGAACACAAGTTTATTCTCTCATATGCTTAGGCTTTCTTATTTGTTTATTATGTTGCTAAAAGTACCCTTTTGGGTTTAAGAGATAGAATAATTTTTTTTAAAAAAACAAAAAATAGCGAGGCATGACTAACAAATAGGACGAGGCGCAACCGAGGTGCGCGCCTAGTAGACATTAGTGAGCCTAGGATGACAACAGGTGCTAGACCTGCGTCTCGAGCCTAGGTGCCTAGGTGCACCTTTAACAACACTGGTCTGTCTAATGAATGAGATGAAGAACAAATTAACTGTAGATGTTTTCTGTTACACCTGTTGATATTCCGATTGAGCAGAATCATCGGTTAGCTGATTCTGAGAGGGAGTTGTTGTCAAATATTGGTCAGTATCAACGACTTGTGGGGAAGTTCATCTATTTATCCATGACTCGACCTGACATTACTTATGCCGTGAGTGTCGTGAGTTAATTCATGCACTCTCCTCGTGCCCTTCACCTTGATGCAACTATTTGGATCCTTCGCTAGTTAAAAGGGTGTCTAGGCCGTGGTATTTTATTTGTCAATCATGGTCACTTACGAGTTGAGGCTCGGACAGATGTTGATTATGCAGGATCAATTTCAGATAGGAGGTCTATTTCAGGTTATTGTTCCACTATTGGTGGTAACTTTGTTACTTGGCGCAGTAAGAAGTAGGATGTTGTCTCTTGATCTAGTACAGAGGCAGAGTATAGGGCTATGGCTCTTAGGGTAGGTGAGTTGCTTTGGCGGAAAACCTTGATGACAGACTTGTGCCTTCGAGTGTCGATTCCATTCTCACTCTACTGCGACAACAAGTCTGCCATTAGTATTGCAGCAAATCCCGTTCAGCATGACAGGACCAAGCATATAGAGGTGGACCGTTACTTCATTCGATAGAAGATCATCTCTGGTCAAATTTGCACTTCGTTTGTCACAAGCTCTCAGCAGCTTGCAGACTTTTTTACAAAGGGCATCAACAAAAATTGTGTTTGAGAATGCATTGTCCAAATTGGGCGTTTTAGATATCCACGCGCGTACCAACTTAAGGGGAATGTTAGCATATATGATACCAAGATTTATGTTATGACTTACCATAATAGCAGAGATTTGACTATGCACATGTTAGCATATATGATACCACTATTTATGGTATGACTTACCATAAAAGCAGAGAGTTGACTATGCTATAGAATATGCAATAGAATATGCTTTAGAGTAAGTTGTGATTTGATTTTGATTTGATTTAGTTTCATTTCTTATAATACGAACATGTGCTCATTTTATCTATAAATATTAGAGATGTGAATGAGTAATTCATATCATTCAAGTCTTTACGCAATTATCTCATTTCTCTTCTTTTTTATATATTTCTACTGTGTATAATAGTCAAAGAAGGCACTATGATTGGTGAAGGATTTTGCTCCACCTTTATATAAAAATATTTATAATTGAAAGGAAATTGACAAGATCACCACGATTGGTGGAGGATTTTGCTCAACAATTATATAAAAATATTTATATATTCGAATACTCCCCTCAAGTTGGAGTATGAATATCATGAATGCCCAACTTGCTAAAGAAATGCCTTGGAAGATGATGAAAATGTGTTCGGAACAAATTAATGGCCAGAACTATGCTGAGAAAAAACCAGAACAACGCCAAGAAATGACTGGAACAAAGCAAGGAAATGGCTGGAGCTATGCTGGGGAAATAGCCGAAACAACGCCTAGAAATGGAATTCTAGATTGGATTACAAGAATAACTCAAATTCTAGATGGGATTACAAGAATAACTTAGCTCTGATACTATGTTAAAATTGGATGCGAAAATAAGAAATGAAAATAAAAAAAAGGAAGAAAAAAATATGGAAAACACATACATATACATGGCTCGGCACTAAGACTTACATCCATAGACAAAGAGCCACTAAGGGTTACATTTATTAATATCGGTATATTGTTTGAGTACAAGGAGCCTATATATAGGCATGGTAAAGATAAGAATATATGGAAGGTGTACAATAGTCAAAGAAGGCACCATGATTGGTGGAGGATTTTACTTCACCGTTATATAGAAATATTTATAATTTGAAGGAAATTGATCGGATCATCACGATTGGTGGAGTATTTATATATTTCAACAAAAAAGGTAGAAAATGAGTTGGAATTCTAAAAGAGTCCCATAGAGAGATAAGATATCATATAAGGAGGGCAATTACAATATTGAAAATATAAGAACTAGACATTGAGTGATGTAAGGACTAATTTGTAATTTAATTTTGAAAAAAAAGAGGGGTGGAGTGCTAGAGGATAATTGTGGAGTGCCAATATCAGCTCCCTTATTTTATACATATGTATAACACTTGATCTAAGATACATTTATTATATATATATATATATATAGGGTTAAGTGTTGAAAACACCCTTTTAAGTATACTGCACATATCACTTTGACCCTCTATTTTTTATAATATGCTATTATCTCCCTTATTTTTGTAAAAATATGTAAAACAGCCATCAAACACACCAAAAAATTCTCAAAACCCTAAATAAAGAAAGATTGGATTAAGGATTTAAACTGTTTGATAAAAATGAAAATTGAAGTACTGAAAAATTTAAGAGCTTAATTTTAAGTGCTGAAGTTTTTAAGTGGTAATTAAAAAATACATATTTTTTGATATCTTTTTGAATTTTTAGTGTTCAACATTAAGGGCCTGTTTGATTTTCTAATTCAGCGCTGAATGCAGAACATGGTAAGTGATTTTTAAAAATAAGTTTTTTTGATAAAATTTTAGGATACCGCTTAACATGGTAAATACCATTTAAAATAGGCCAAAATTTTAAGCGTGGGAAAAGTTACTTATCCCTTATCGTAGAACACGGTAAGTAGTTGGGTTTAAAAAATAACTTTTTAATGACTGCTCTACACTCATATAATTGTGTTATCTCTTTTAGGGTTTCTCTCTGCGATTTTTCTATTGAAAATGAATTACATGTAACAAATTCTAAAAAAATAAAAAATATAACTCTACCTAATATATTTTAATTTTTAAACATGTATATAGCTTTTGGTTACCATTTATATTAATTCACTCTAGAAAATAATTATTTATATAACAGAATTCTATTCAATTTCACGTACTTTTTTTAATATTGTTAACACTATTTTTATACGCACACCATTTTTATACCCTACAAAAATATTATGTAATTATTTATATAATAGAATTCTATTATCAGAGAAGAATTGTCTTTCACATAGTTTCTTAACACTCTTTTCAATACTTTACCATGTAATCCAAAACCCATATATTTTAAATTTTACTTTTTTTAATCTTTTGTAACATTCTTTTTGATATCCAAAACCTATATACTTTAAATTTTTATTAATTATTTATATAATAGAATTAATTAATTTTTTTTTTGGTTAATTGTGGATGTCCGGGCCAGCTTGCGCGCACCTCGAGTAATCTGACAAGGCCCTGAAAATATATAATCGAATTATTTTCCTAGATAAAAATTCTTTTTCACTTTCCTTAATTTTTGTAACACATTTTTTAATACCCTACATAAATATTATGTAATTCAAAACACAAATATTTTAAATTTACTATAATTTCTGTAACACTATACCTGCATAAATATTATGTAATCCAAAACCAATAGATTTAAAATTTCCATCAAATATTTATATAATAGAATTTTATTCCTAAATAAGAATTATTTTTCAAGTATTTTCCTTAATGTTTGTAACGCCCTTTTCAATACCCTACCAAAATATTATTCAATCCAAAACTTATATATTTTAAATATTATGTATTACAAAATCCAAATATTTATTTATTTCATATTTATTTATTTCATTGAGTGAATGTGGTTGCTTTATTAATATTTTTGTCTTATAAATATAAAACTGTTATGAGTATCAAATATTGAGGGTAAAAATGTAATATGCATAACTTTCAGATTCCAGTTTTTGTATATAACAAACAATCTTAATGAATTCAACACTTAAAAC